GTCAAATAAGAAAATTGCTCAAATATGCTTTTTGTCTAACATCATTTCCATAGTATAAAATACACATAAAATAAACAGCAAGTAATATGTCAGCAAAAAAATAAAGCAAGAAATACACATTAAAATGATGTATAACATAACCATACTTAATAATGTATTCCAGTAGCAAATGGGAAATTTCAACAATGCTAACACCGCAGTTACTTTTGCACCAAGCTAATAGTTCATGTGCACCTAAAGATTAATTAATCTGAAATCATAAACTGGTTCTAAGTGTAATAACACAAGGTTGCTTTTTTTAAAATCATAACTATGATTATTTTATTTCGGAAGCTAGTGAATAGAGAAAATACTAACTTTGCCCTGGAAAGAAATACAGATTCTGCTGCCACAAGTGGTCTAAAGTCTGTGGAACTTCTAGAGACTTTAGAAATGAAGGCAAACAAGAAACTCTAAACACAAGTTTTTAATTCCAGGTCAAGGGTCAAAATTCTTTTCTGTAAAGTGTCAAATCCAGGATTAAGCATATGAGAATTCTTGTATTTTTTTTTGTTTTTGAAAAATTTACTCTAGACAATACATATTAAACGTACACCCTAGTCATCAGCTTCCTGGGCTTTTGTAGTCATTAAATGAATTGCAGAAATATATTTAAAAAGTTAGTAAAACAAATTCAGAATTTTGAGTTGTTATAGTAGAGGTGTATAAAACATAGATGACTGATTTTGCAGGAAACTAAAAAAGATATCTGAGGTCAGCCTGTCATTTACAGTGGCTCAGAACTCAAAGCATTCTCTGAAACTCAAGAGATATAGCACACAAATGTTTAATTTCTAGAGTATACATTGTTTCCTTTAGATTTAAAAAAGATCACAAAAGCAAAAACACAGAAGCTCTGTCTAGTATCAAGCCTATACACTGTTAACAAACATTTTTTATTAAGAATTCACAGTAACTGTCTTGCAGAGTTTTCAGGTGCCAAGGAATCATGGCAACACAACTGTAAAATAACACAGTACTATGTACATAAAGAAAAAAAGGTGAAATATAATGCTTTGAAAAAAACTATTATAGAGTAAATTACATTTTAAATCAAAATGATTGACAAGCTTACATGAAACATCTGGGCTGCTACTTAGACTGCTTAACTTTTACAATTTTTAGCTGGGAAAAGCAACAAGACAGCAGAAACAAAGAAAGTGCTGGGCTAGGAGTTCTGAGACATGGGTACTCACTTTACTTCTTTGGGCTCCAATCTTCTCAACAATAAAGTTGGAACAGATCATCCTCCTTGGATCTTTAAAAACACCAAAAACTCAAAGTTCCTTTTGCGTCTCATCAGTGTGATTCAAGGCATATTATTTTTCATACTTGCGATAAAGTAACATGAACAATACAGGAGATGCCATTTTGCAATGAGAGCATAATCTCCTTTGATGGAGAATTATTCCTGCAATCACAACCAGGCTTTTCCCATCCCGTCTCACTAGTTAACATGCTCCCGAAACAAGGAGGCATCCTTCTCAGACAGGAGCAGAACCATAAAAGTGTTCAGAGGCAGACATTTAGGAGGTTCTTTTAATGCCTAATAATTACATGACACATGACACTGACATAAGCGCTGTTAAAGGAGCCTTTTAAATCTTTCGTGATACAAAATGTGAAAACCATTTGCTTTTTGTTAAGCCTTTAGATTTAATATTCCTCCCCTGCTAAAGAAATAACACATTTTAGTCTTATACTTCAGAATTTGGATTAGTAGGTTTCCTGCAATTAATTTGTGGGCACTTGGGGGTTGACATCTTGTGTTAAATTTGGGATGAAAGATAACCATGACAATATTATAGAGCTGTCCTTTATGCTGTTTCAGAATTGATGGCTAAATTGTGTCTTCCATTACTTAAGTTTATGGCTTTCACTTTAGTAAACAATTTGTAAAGTTTTCTCACTGATCTCAAAGACGATATATACAGCAATTAGCATTATTTTGGTAATAATGCCTAGAATTTATTAGTTCCATCCTCTTTTCTTCCTAAATATAGACAAAATGTTTGACTACAAAATAAATGAGATCTAATACCCACCTATATAGTTCAATGAAGGCATGTAACATCTGCAGTAAGGCAGGCTTAGTTATTGATCATCTGCTTCGTTAGTTCTGTCCCTGAAAATAGACTGATCAGAAACCAGTGTTCCTAGACTACATTGAATCATGCCTTCGCTGGGTTAAGATTTGCCATTATGATCTTTCTCTGCATTTGGCATCTTTTTTAAATTCTAAAGAAATGTTGTCCTATATAAAAACCCTCATGCTTTAGTTCAAGAGAAAACTAGCTTGCTTTTGCAGATATATTTGTTTTCTACTGTGAAAAGCAAAAACTGTTTCTTTTGTTTTAGCAGGAAGAAAATTTAGAACCAAATTTATTGTCCAAGCTTTACTTGCTGAGTTGAATGAAACCACGTACTTTTGTGCTGTTTTACTGTTAAATCTTCTTTAAAGGCTCTGTATTTTGTAAGCCTCTTCAAGACCTTTTAAAAGAAAATAGGAAACAAATTTCAAAAATAAAAATTTAGTTACAGGCCAGGCGCAGTGGCTCACGCCTGTAATCCTAGCACTCTGGGAGGCCGAGGCAGGTGGATCGCTCAAGCTCAGGAGTTCGAGACCAGCCTGAGCAAGAGCGAGACCCCGTCTCTACTAAAAAATAGAAAGAAATGATCTGGACAACTAAAAATATATATATAAAAAATTAGCCGGGCATGGTGGCACATGCCTGTAGTCCCAGCTACTTGGGAGGCTGAGGCAGAAGGATCACCTTGAGTCCAGGAGTTTGAGGTTGCTGTGAGCTAGGCTGATGCCACGGCACTCTAGCCCGGGCAACAGAGAAAGGCTCTGTCTCAAAAAAAAAAAAAAAAAAAAAAAATATATATATATAGTTACAAGCGACTATAGATAATGTATTTAAGCATACTGTATTATTTTCTACTGTAATCTAGAGGTTAAAAATGGATTTCACAGCTATTTTTATAATGGACATAATTTTACATTGAAAATATGCTAATTTCCCTTTCATCATCATGAAGAGTGAGATAATAGTTGTTATATTAAGTATTTCTTATGCTGTTCAAATGTTGGCTGGCATAAGTTACCTAAAAAAATGCCTATTCAACATAACTATTGAAAGAACTTAACTGTCTGTGCTATCACTTCATTGAACACTATATTCACGAAGTCTTTTTAACCTTTCCAAGTTGTATTTTTAAAACAGGAAATTATGCTAATTTTTAAACAAATTTAAATCATGAATATATTATGAGGTTTTCCTATCTCCTAAATATTACCTACCTTGTTAAAAATAAAAAAAATTGATATAAGAAACATTTTGAGGCAGTGTTATATGTGTATCATATTTAAGGTCAGCTTTTGCTAATCTATGAGAACACATCTATGTAATATTTAAAAAAGTTAATGAAATCCAGTGCAATTTCAACTTCTAATTTCATTGAGAATTTACTACAAAAAACATAGGAAGTGGCATGTCTGTATTAGTTACAATTTGACAAATGAATTCCTTTCCATATATATCTTAAGATCCAAAGTCTCAGTGCCACAAATAACATGATTGAAGGATCATGTACAATGTATATTTTAATATAGAATTTGTGTAGGGATTTAGAGCAATAAATATCACACAGTGAAAACTTTTTCAAAAACTAAATACAGTAACGAAAGGAAAGTAAAAGGTTACGTACACATTACCAAGGTCTTTACAGTAAGTCATAGTGGATAGTTCCATCATAGCATATTTGCATCCAAAGCTGCTAATGCCAACACTGAAAGAAGTCTGTCATTAGGTCTTAAATCTTGATTTAATATAGTTTGTACAGTATCAAATAATATCAAAGGTCTAAAAAAACCACAATGAGTTTTTACATTATGTTTATAAATTATTGTTTTACATACCATAAAAAAAGGTCAAAAGTGGTTTAAAAAAAAGTGGAAGTTATTATTCTTGATAACAGCTGGAAAAACGTACTGTCCCAAGTAGGAGGCAATGTAAAGGCCATACAGTTTCTCAGAAATTTCCCTTTAACTCTCATATAATGTTGGTTACCATATGCCGTAAGATAAACCAATATAAAGGGAGCCAAGTAATCATTTTACAAAAATAATAGAAAACACAACCTTGTGATGAGAAACATTGGAAATAAACATAATTACAGGCCTTCCAAAAAGTGAACGGCTCTGTTTACAGGAATGAATGGGCTGTCAATGAAGATGACCAAACTTGGGAAATTTCAAAGGCTTGCCAGAGTACTTTTTTTTTTTTTTTAAGACAGCCTTGCTCTGCCAACCCCAGTAGAGGGCAGTGGCATTATCATAGCTCACAGCAACCTCAAACTCCTGGGCTCAAGCAATCCTCCCGCCTCGGCCTCCCGAGGAGCTGGGACTATGGGCGCATTCCACGACGCCCAGCTAATTTTTCTATTTTCAGTAGAGAAAGGGTCTTGCTTTGCTCAGGCTGGTCTCAAACTCCTGAGCTCAAGCAATCCTTCTGCCTTGGCCTCCCAGAGTGCTAGGATTACAGGCGCGAGCCACCACACCAGGCCCAGAAGTTTTTATCTTTCTCAAATTTTTAGTCATAAATGGCAATGGTGCATACATCACAGGATTATGTAATTTTCTAGTATAACTAAGACAAAACACGATTTAAAGGTGATAAATCATATCATCTACTACTTCTCACAGAGAATAAAGACTAAGGATCCAGTAATTAAAAGGCAGAACTATAGAAAACAGTCCAGAAGAAACAGATGGATGAACCATAACTGGGTCTTCATTGGCACAGTAACTAGCTATATTTTGACAAATTCAAGAACAAATGCCTACATTGAAGTATGTGGTATGTTAACCAACTTAGATTTATGTAAGAAACTGAAATAGTAAAACTATAGGCTTATAAAACAAATTAAATTTAGAGAAAAGAAAAATAAAAGGCATGTAAAGAAAAATCTTATTTTTGAGTTTATTGTGGGATCAAAATATTGACAGAGCTGGATCAGTCAAGAGGAGTATTCCTGATGCTGGAACTGATAGGCGGCCCGAACCTTGAGTGGTTCAGCAAAACCACTCCTCTCCTCAAATGCTGTTTGACTGGTGGTGCTTTCTTTGTATGATGCCAGGCAACAGATGACTGCTATTTTTTCTACCGAATATAGTAAGCTCCTTGGTTGGTTTAACACATATAGACTGCCCGAGAGAGAATAAAAACATACCATTACAGGAGGTTAAGGGTAAATAAAGGTCTTCCTAGTTTTGATGGGAAAAAGGGTTGGCTGCGGAACACAGCACGGGTGCTCTGTAGGGTGCGTACATACATACTTAATAATCAACGTCACCTTTAGTGGAAGATTAAAAGTCGATGGATATGGATGCTTGTGCAGAATCTTCTCGCCCCCTGACATAAATTTCACAGGGAATCTCCTCCATTACTCTGTCTTCTAGGGCCTGGTCAGGGCACTCATGTGCCTGTTTGAAGGTGTAGCTACTTTTCTTAAAGGTGCTATTAAACGTTTTCATGGGCTGTGGCGGTGCAAAGTCGTTTCGGAAAGGAAGCTCCATGGACCCGAGGTTGGCCCTGCTCTGCTTCGCGCTGGGCGCCTGCGATCCGCAGTGGTGGTCGTGGACGCACCGGGAGGCGGTGGAGGAGCGCCGCATCTTCTGGTAGCTGTCCAGCTCTTCCGACAAGTCTGCCAGGTCTGCGGAAATCTCCTTGTCCCTTAGTGAAAACAGTTCGTAATGAGGAGGATCAAACACTTCTTGGAACCCAGTTTTATTAAAAGCAGTTTTACAAGACATGACCTTTTTTCGAGGCTGTTTCACTTGTACTAAAATAGAAATAATGAGAAGGACCAAGACAATCCCTGATGTAATGCCAATAATTGTTCCATGAGTTTTAGTGATTTGTTCAAATAGTCCTGATTTTTTCTTTTCTGTGGAAAGAGAAAGAAACGTTAAGGTTTTCAAAATTCATTAATAAGAGTCCTGGCACAGATTGAAAGGTATTTATAGGTAAAGCAGAACACTTGGGTCAAATATACACAGACAATGAAATTTACAATTAGGTTTTTAAACAAGTAAAACGATTATTATATTTTCTATTTTGACTTCTGGTTAAAGCCACAAATCACAAGATAGCCAGATAGATTCCACGAAAGATAAAGTTCTTGGTTCCTTTACTCAGAAGATACATGAATGCATATGATTTGCAAATCAAATCAAATACATAAATACAGAATGCCAAAATAAATACATTCGTTCTATCGAGTTTTAGCTGTCTGCTCTACAGTAGGTTTGACTAACTGCCATGCTTAGGTATATTCACAATATTTCTACTGACGGACACCAGGAAGAGAGAACTAACATGACCAGACTAACCCACCCGGGTATGTTATCATGGTATACTGGTTTTGAATGACTATCTAAAAATACTTCATGTCAAGTATTTAAGACAGCCATATCAGATTAGATCAGCTTTCCTTATCAAGATATTTACTGAACTCTTGTAGGATAAAAGGCAGACAAACTACTTCTGAGACAGTGATTTGACAACCAGCCTGCAGACACTCAGCTATTACCACAAGCCGTATTTATCTTTCAGAGAGTATATACTGGGAATATAGCATAGGAAACTCAGTGAAATTTTCTAGGAAAGCAGTTCCTTGAATGAGTCTAGTTTTGTATTGCAAGACTGAATCGGTCAGTTGATTTTTATTAAAGTTTCCAGATATTAATAATTTAAAAAAGAACAATACTCCAGGCTAACCTCTAAATTATTTTGATAACTAAGTAAGATATCTTTACAATACAAATGACAAACTTCACTAACAGTAAGAAAATAAGGCCAGGAAATATCACGATACATTTTTGAACAACTTAAGGTAAAAAACAGTTTGTAAACACAAATTGGTTTCATTAAGTATTTTTCTTTGCTTTGACCACATCCTAGAAGTTTACGATCCATTTAAAAGAACATATAAATGTTTCCATTTCTGCCCAAGCAGTTACGCTAAGCATAGTCACAGAAAAAGCATTTTAAGTCTTTCTTAATGAAAGGCAGCAGCCATTTTTTTTCTCAAAAAGGCTGGCCTTTACATCAGACTCACCTTTGCAGTGGTTTTCGTCCCAAGGGTAGGCACAGTTTTGAACACCGTTACAGACTAAAGAATTATTAATGCACATGTTGCTGTGGCAAAAGAAAGTGCCACCTGTGCAGGGAGCTGAAGGAAAAGAGAAAATTGTGTTGCTAAAACAGACATGCAGATTATGAACTTTTGATTTATTTTACACTTAAGAATGCGACTTTAGGAGCAATTTCTTAACTCGAAGTCCTTTCCATGAATCTACTCTGTACTACATAAACAGTAAGAAAAACATCAATATTCTCTGATGCTGGCTCATACAAACTTTTTCTTAGGCTAGTCACCAACAGGTCATTTTTAACGTAATGACAATATGAATGTATTTCCCACGGTTCTTATGGAACTAGTATATAATCTGGTAAATGTTTCCAAAACTTTAAAAGACAGTGTTGGCAAGAATGTGAAGACACTGAAACCCTTGTGCATTGCTTCTGGGAATGTAAAATGGAGTAGCAACTGTGGGAAACTGGAAGCTCCTCAAAAAGTTAAACAGATGTTGTTGCATAGATCCAACAATTTTACTTTTAGATATATGCCCAAAAGAATCGAAAGCAGGAAATCAAACAGATACTTGCACACTGATGTTTATGGCAGCATTATTCACAATAGCCAAAAGGTTGAAACGACCAAAATGCCCATCAATGAATGAATGGATAAACAAAATGTGGTATCTATAAGACAATGGAATATTATTCAGTCATAAAAAGAAATGATATTCTCATACATATTACAACATGGATGAGGCTTGAAAACATTATCCTAAGTGAAGTAAGTCAAGCATTTCACTTAGCATAATTATTGTATCATTATGGATTAAGTATTGTATGAGAAATATCATGATTCCACTTATATGAGGCAAATTCATTGAGACAGAAAGTGAAATAGAGGTTACCAGGGTCTGGAAAGAGGGGGAAAAGGGGAGTTAGTATTTAATGGGTAATCGGTTTAAGTTTGGGATGATAACAACATTCTAGAGATGGATGGTGGTGATGGTTGTACAAAAGTGTGAATGTCCTTAATGCCACTGAACTGTACACTTAAAATGGTTAAAATGGTAACCATTTATTTTACCATGATTAAAAAAAGGGAAAAAATCCACTCTTCTGAATTAAAAAATAATTTTAAAAGACAATAAAGGTATATGGAGTATATACCATGTAATTTCATATTTTATATACACTGTTCTTTCAGCCTGTTGAAAGAACAGGAATGTCTGGAATGTTTCCTTCTTTCCTTTCGTGGCGGCCACCTATGCACCTGAGATATAGTACGTTGGTGTAAAGAAACAAACAAACAAAAAACTGAAGTAAGGCAGCTTAATATTTCCCCCCATTAAACAGGATTATAGAGGTGTAACAGAAGCCCAAAAACCTCACCTAACAATTCTGGCTTCTAAAATTATAATTGGATAAAATGTATTTCCTGCTTAAAAGATACTAGAGTTTTGATTTACAGAAAATATGTGCTTCATCAAGGAAGGAGAATTGAGTTTTGTTCTGTTTTATATTGACGTATCTCAAATATTTTTTATATTTTCTTTTCAAAATTCCTTTTCAAGTTACAATTAGTATCTAAAATTTTAATGGACAGAGCCAGGCATGTATAGTCTCAGCTCCTCGGGAGGCTGAGGCAGGAGGATCGCTCGAGGCCAGGAGTTCGAGGCTGCAGTGAGCTGTCATCACGCCCCTGCACTACAGTCTGGGTGAAAGACCAAGACCCTGTCTCTTAA